ATATACACTGTGCAAAAACCTCCAATCTTACATTGACTTAAGTTTCGGAGAGGATAAACTAGGTGTTGACCCGGACCCTTTTTTGACCTTGTGGTTGTTTCAAGTTCACCATACAGAAGATCACTATCTCAATTTGTTGTAGGAATTCTCTCGTGCAATATCTATTTCACATTACTTTTGTTGTCCAAAAAATACAAAGTTACTAAAAATTATAGTTATCTTAAGGTTGTTTGAGGTTCAACTATTGAAAATTATAGTTATCTCGAAATTGAAAAATTACAAAGGTTGTGGAAAAAAATTATTTAAGTTTGCAAGGATTAATGACATAAATTCAATTTTGAAACAGTAGAATCCTTTTATGAAAGTAGGCTTTTTCATGTTGGAATTCAAATTGAAAATATCTTTATAATGTTGGGCAACTTTTTTAGCTTTTAAGTGGGAGCATATAAGTCAACATTTACGAAGAATCGAAGATTATAAATGGCGGGACATTTTTGTCAAGTGGGTCCACCAGCCCCACTCCCAATAAAGGAATTGACATATATCACAAGTGAGACCTACTACAATAAATATATGATAGGTAATGAGTATTTTGGTAGGCTAGACCATGTCTATTTCCCTGCATTGACGGCTGGACAGTAGGGTAAGTAGCTCTCTAACCTTCTCTATATATATGGGTGAAGACCCAAGAAAGAGGGGCCTCAAGTAGGAGCACCTTGGCTCCATCCTCCACACACACATCTATATTATTTTCTTAGTTTTATACACTAGTCTATTCGTGTATTGATCGCAGTACTGACTTTGGCATCAGAGGGGCCTCCCCCAACTTAACATCAGGGGTCTCTCTAACCTTGATATGCCTTGCAGCTCATGGATTGGGTGATACTCGAAGACTAGGGGCGCACCTTGACAACTTTCAACTATTAGCGGCTTTTTTACCCATGCAATTTTGCGCCGTCTGTGGGAAACGAAGCAAGCATGTCCCAAAATCTTCATATCAACCATTCCGTGAGCTCTGTCCAATATCTACTCATTGTGTTCAGTCACTGTTCAGGCCGTTCAGGGAGCTTGGTCTTTATTCCAAGCTCATGGTAGCATAAAGCAAACCCCACAGTGTCTCACCAAGAAGCCTCCACATAAACATGGTTGACCATGAAGTCTTATTCATGGAGTTTTGTTATGTTTAATTTTTCACGAACATCAAATTGTTTTAATTCGTCCTTCAGTACAAGACGACATTCTACCATGACGATGATCAATCCCTGTCAAGGGCGAAAAGTTTGTCTTTAGAAGTAAAAGACAAACCAAGACAAAGTACCTCTCTCGCGGTTTGCACGGCCTCTTGATCCCATTTGGACTTCTGAGCAACTCCCGGCAATCACTGGAGTCTTTCATGGTTTTGGACTGCATATTCGGTGATTATTTGGGAGTCTAATCGGCAGAATATCCAAATGGATGCTTGGTGGCCCCTGCTATTATATAGGTATGTTAATGGAACTTAGGATACCTCGCCGTGTCATGTCCCTTTGCAAAGAGTTCGGCATATGCTAAGATGAGTGGTCTCCCTCCTTTTATATTTAAATAAAGTTTGAATATTGCCATGTAGGCCACCATATGAAGCATAGAAGTATAGTCTATTAATTGCTCCTGTGAATATGCGTGTGTCATGAAGAGTTCACCTGATAATTATGGCTACCTACTAGTCTAACTTTCTTGGACCATCTACATAAAGTCACCTTTCTTGTTATCTTTGTCGTGGGTTCTATAAATAAGCCAGGTGGTCCTTCCATGCTGCTGGCACATGTAAAATGCAAACCCAATAAACAGCTCAGTTTCTCCTTATTGAGTTGTTTGTGCAGCTTGTTCTCACTCTAAGTGCCGACTCGTGGTGCATGAGACCCATAACTCAGCATTCTTTAATAAGTACAACCATTTTAAGCTTAGGTCGAAAGCAAGTTCACTTCTTTTTGTAGGGAACCACATTAGAAGTTGCACCATTAGCAAAGACTAAAATGATTGCCTTATTTGCTCCAGTGTCACTTTATGAAGATTACACTTGCTTACTTGACAAATCTATGTATATAGACACAAGCACACAAATAGCAAAAATCATGGAATTTTGCCTAATATGACTAACAAGAAGCAAAGCTCCTTTAGTACAGTTGTTTTTGTTGTCTCAGTGNCCTCAAGTAGGAGCACCTTGGCTCCATCCTCCACACACACATCTATATTATTTTCTTAGTTTTATACACTAGTCTATTCGTGTATTGATCGCAGTACTGACTTTGGCATCAGAGGGGCCTCCCCCAACTTAACATCAGGGGTCTCTCTAACCTTGATATGCCTTGCAGCTCATGGATTGGGTGATACTCGAAGACTAGGGGCGCACCTTGACAACTTTCAACTATTAGCGGCTTTTTTACCCATGCAATTTTGCGCCGTCTGTGGGAAACGAAGCAAGCATGTCCCAAAATCTTCATATCAACCATTCCGTGAGCTCTGTCCAATATCTACTCATTGTGTTCAGTCACTGTTCAGGCCGTTCAGGGAGCTTGGTCTTTATTCCAAGCTCATGGTAGCATAAAGCAAACCCCACAGTGTCTCACCAAGAAGCCTCCACATAAACATGGTTGACCATGAAGTCTTATTCATGGAGTTTTGTTATGTTTAATTTTTCACGAACATCAAATTGTTTTAATTCGTCCTTCAGTACAAGACGACATTCTACCATGACGATGATCAATCCCTGTCAAGGGCGAAAAGTTTGTCTTTAGAAGTAAAAGACAAACCAAGACAAAGTACCTCTCTCGCGGTTTGCACGGCCTCTTGATCCCATTTGGACTTCTGAGCAACTCCCGGCAATCACTGGAGTCTTTCATGGTTTTGGACTGCATATTCGGTGATTATTTGGGAGTCTAATCGGCAGAATATCCAAATGGATGCTTGGTGGCCCCTGCTATTATATAGGTATGTTAATGGAACTTAGGATACCTCGCCGTGTCATGTCCCTTTGCAAAGAGTTCGGCATATGCTAAGATGAGTGGTCTCCCTCCTTTTATATTTAAATAAAGTTTGAATATTGCCATGTAGGCCACCATATGAAGCATAGAAGTATAGTCTATTAATTGCTCCTGTGAATATGCGTGTGTCATGAAGAGTTCACCTGATAATTATGGCTACCTACTAGTCTAACTTTCTTGGACCATCTACATAAAGTCACCTTTCTTGTTATCTTTGTCGTGGGTTCTATAAATAAGCCAGGTGGTCCTTCCATGCTGCTGGCACATGTAAAATGCAAACCCAATAAACAGCTCAGTTTCTCCTTATTGAGTTGTTTGTGCAGCTTGTTCTCACTCTAAGTGCCGACTCGTGGTGCATGAGACCCATAACTCAGCATTCTTTAATAAGTACAACCATTTTAAGCTTAGGTCGAAAGCAAGTTCACTTCTTTTTGTAGGGAACCACATTAGAAGTTGCACCATTAGCAAAGACTAAAATGATTGCCTTATTTGCTCCAGTGTCACTTTATGAAGATTACACTTGCTTACTTGACAAATCTATGTATATAGACACAAGCACACAAATAGCAAAAATCATGGAATTTTGCCTAATATGACTAACAAGAAGCAAAGCTCCTTTAGTACAGTTGTTTTTGTTGTCTCAGTGTTGTTGCAGGGCTGACTTAGGAGTATTGAGGTTGGTCCATCTCTTCATCGTTGGGGTGATCTCAAGGTTGCCAGCAAGTTTGGGTGAATCACTAAGTGGTGATCAGTCTCACCTCCGAGAATTCAGAGGGGCTTGATACCGTCATGAAAGAACGACCTCTCCCAAAGTCCTGCAAAATGAGCAGCCTATGACTCACTCTCCCTCAAGGAACTGTTCTTTTGAGCGGTCAATCAAGCGTTATGGCGTGTTTATTGCTGCACAGCACACTCAGCACAGCTAAAAGCTTATGGAGGGACATCGGTCAATCGAAATATGTTCGACATTATGAAAATGGTCAATGGTTAAAGGTAGTTGAGGCCATTGCAATAATGATCGACATCACTGCCAATTAGACTCATTGGCCTTGTGGGTGGTCGGTGTACCCATTCAGTGCTCATTAGAAATCAACAGTCGCTTTGTATCCCCTACATGCAGCTCAGTGTACACAGTCTGACCTTGTTTGGCATAAGCTCGAGCATATTTTGAATAAGACTGCTATCGGGAATGGAGCTTTAAGTGTTCGGCCCTCCCCCACTGTCAAGCTATGGGGGTCGAGCTTTTCCGAATAATGCAGGGAATATGCCGAATAGAGAGGTTAGCATACATTGTCGAGTGAACATGCTCGGCACTTGAAATAGTTAGTCTGCCATCAATTGGTGTTTTGCCTCGCCTATGGGCAAGAGACTTTGCTCGGCCTATCCCCTTGAATGCTCTTTTTAACTTGCAACACTCCCACTTTGGCATTGCAAAAATGTAGAGTTCTTTAGATAATCACAAAGAGAACTCGACATATGTGCACAAGCACAACTATTTCTTGAACCCAAGCATAGACAAATCCAGCGACTCATACCAAGAGTGTCGTCCATGAAATCCCAACAGAAGTCTCGCCTTTATTTCAATCTCAGGAAGTGCTCGACTATCTTCTCCAATGCAATCGGTGTATATACCCAGTTCTCCCACCGACAAGAAAGTCCCAACAATTGAAAGCATTTCGCCCAGAATTTTGGCTTACCCAACACTATTTCAGGCTCTTAAAGTGAAGGGCATCAAATCATTATTTTTTTTTGGTAACCTCTCACTCTAAGCTTGTTACGGAGCTTTAATGTGTTACCAGGGCTCCGATGATCTCGCTCACGTACGATTGACATCATTATTTAAATCTTGGATTCTTGGGTAGTCAGCCTTTCTACTCGGCCATTCAAAGACAGTTGGGTCCGCAGAGACCATGGCATCAGTAGAGAAAACGATTGACGTCACCATAAAAACTCGAGTGGTCTAGGTGGTCGGTCCAATCAATGGCAGTGAGTACAATCAAGGATGTCGAGCAAATTATGGTCCAGCCTCAAGATTTTGTCATTCTTTCGCAAATAATAAATGATCAGAGGTGATCGGGTTTTCACTAAAGATTGGTTCCCTAAAAAGCCATCTTCCAGCACCTAAAAGAATCTGCCGACATGCACCGTCAGGCTATTTTGTCGACATAAAAGTCCCTCTCGGGCTTTTTTGACTTGGAAGTCTTTTGAAATGTAGCATCCGATCCATATCTCCAAATGAGCAAACATGCTCGGCACTGCCTAGAAGTTGTTCGGCACCAATACATCGGTGCCATCAAAGTGGAGACAGAGTTGCAGCCCAATCTCTTTATAGTATCTTGCCACCTGTGGTTAGAATCAGCCTCTGATTAAAGCAAAAAGAGAATATACTCCGAACATCATTCTGTAAGCATGGACTGAGAAAGTTTTTCTTCGACATTGGCCGTGTTATTTTGTACCAACGAAATGATTTACGTGGCAAATTATGATTGCCACACTCAGATCTAAGCAGTTCGAACTTAGTAAAGGACCTCGCTGTCATGAATGCTTCCAAAGACATCAAAAACGAGTTGAGATCCATTCAGGTTTTTGCCTCAATTATGATGACATCAGCACATCTGAAGCCCAGGATTTCGGGTTCTCAACCCAGCTTTTCGACATTCAGAGTTTGAACTGGCAGAGCATCAATTCAATCTCTATCGAAGCTAAGTACATCACAAATGAGTTTCGCTCCGGCAAAGGCAGTGATAATGCCCAGTTTCCAAGGAGGTTCTCATTTGGGAATTTGACTGAGCACCTACAGCTCCCTAGACCTCATGACAATCGTGCAAACTCAACGCCAATCGGAATTCTTGATCAAGTGACATCAGTGGTAGTCGACAAAGAAATGCTCGGTCCCTGTTGTAATGCCTTCTACGGTACAGGAATCTATGAGAAACATGCTGCTACCAAATGGGCAGTCTTCAAATAAATTGGTAATATGAACACTGGGGGGCATCGACCTAGACCAAGCAGAAATAAAAGCCAGCAACCCGGGGCACTCAATGACATCAGATCAAGTTTTTGGATTACGAACTCTAGGTGGAAATAAGACCTACATATCTACGTATTCATATGGGCTCCGGGCCCTAGAAACGGGTAAGCCTTTGCTCGGTCAAAGCACTAAAAAATTTAATGTAAGGAACAGATATGCTCGGGTCTACTTTTACGGACATTCTAAAGGAGACAAAATTATTCGGTCCCTCTTCAGAGGACCTGGTGTATTCGGCCCTTCTTTACAAGGGCATACTTATTTGGATCTTTCTCAAGGGCCAAGGTTATGTGGTCCCTCTTCGGAGGACCAAATATTATTGTCCTCTTTAGGCTTGCTCATGCTTGACGTTTGTCGCATTCGATTGTAGTAACCCTTCTCGGGGTTTAGATATTGTTATCTTCGTTGGAGTTGGATATGGAGTATCTATGGTTATTTCATTCGGGATTTAAATCTCTCGAGCAGACATCTAATGATTATCTTCGGTATTTCTTGAGCTACTCAATAAAGGACTTCATTATTGCTCGGCATCAAGGGACAGATGTGTTCGGGGTCTTTTTATTGATTCCCTCTTCAAGAAACTCATGTACTGAGACCTTCTTCATAGAGACCTTCTCCTAGATATCAAGATTGTCTAGTCATGTTGTGGGGGCACTGCATTCGGTCTTTCAAGGGTCAGATTTAGTCGATCATGCCTAGGTCTTATTTGGTTGAACTTCGTAGGCCAAGCTTATGTGGTCTCTAGTCAAAGGATCATCAACATTTATTATTAATTTCCCTCGGACATATTGGCCTTGGAAGGCACCTCATGATTGTCTCATTCACGACTTAACTATTATTTTTCCTCTCGGGATTCGATTATGATCGTATTTTTCAGGATTTAGTTATCTTCATCCTTGAGAGTTGATTATGATCATCCTCGTCATGGCTCATATTATTATCTTCTTTGGATTTGGGTATATGAGTCAAGTGTGGATGTCCTGTTCAAGACTTGATTCTCTCCAATAGCGTCTCATGGTTAAGTTTGAATCTTCATGCGGCCTCTCAATAAGGCACTTTATTACTACTCGGCCTGATGGGTTTCTTATGTGTACATTGTTATTGGTCGAACCTAAAACTATTGTATACCGTGAGAATATCAACTATGACACCAGGAAGACGCGTTGCTCTAACTGTTGTGATATCACTCATTGCTAGTAGAGTATTTGAGCTTCGTGGTTATTGATCCCGGTATTCTATTATAAATGACAAGTGTATTCGGCATGTGCATGTATTATTGTCTATGGTATTTGGGCTCTGTGCTCACTTGATAACATATAATGGGTCTTAGCATATCTCTTCCAAGGCGTACATTGCCAAAAAGAATATGGATATTATCCCCAAAGACATAAATATTTCAAGTAGCTTCCATTTTCTTCTAAGCGCGATAAAAGAAAATGAAAGTTGGGGGGCAATTGGCTGAAAATTTCTATCAAGTGGGTCCACCAGCTCCACTCCCAATGAAGGAATTGACATGTATCACAATTGGGACATACTACAATAAATATATGACAGGTAATAAGTGTTTTGGCAGGCTAGTTCATGTCTATTTCCTTGCATTGATAGCTGGACAGTAAGGTAAGTAGCTCTCTAACCTTCTCTATATTTATGGGTGAAGACCCAAGAAAGAGGGGCCTCAAGTAAGAGCACCTCGGCTCCATACTCCACACACACTTCTATATTATTTTCCTAGTTTTATACACTACTAGTCTATTCATGTATTGATCATAGTACTGACTTAGACATCGGAAAGGCCCCCCCCCCCGGCTCAACGCCAGGGATTCCTCTAACCTTTCTCTGCTTTGCAGCTCATGAATTGGGTGATACTCGAAGACTAGGGGAGCACCTTGACAACTTTCAACTATTGGCGGATTTTTACCTGTGCAATAAATGTTCGTGTTAATTTTACTACTACCCCAAAGCATATCCATCTTTTGGCTATCAAAGCTCAATTGAAAATTCTTCAAATTACTTTGCCAATGAGGCATGTGCTCACTGCTCAGGTGTGAAAATAAGTTTCTCATGGCCACAACTGGCTTCTGGATAGCTCTAACTACCTGCCTTCCAAGTTCTCACTTGTTTTTTTGTATGAGCATGGGGTTCGAAATAATTTGATTTTGCTTAGTTAGATATGAATAAGGATTACCGTGACACTAGTGAGATTAGCTGTATTGCTTTACTATTATTGATCTTTTGCAATTTCCCTGTACTAACTTTAGTTGCTAATTTCTCATTATACACATTGCACTACTTATTTTGGTCTATTCCTCTGAGGATGGATCTTGGGGTAGCAATAAAAATTTTCCATTGTGACTGAGGCATCAAGATTCAAGTCATGGAGACAGCCTGGAGTGCATCTAACCCCCAAACCCCATAATAGCAAAAGTCTCATGCACAAGTTGTCTTATTTTAGTCTATTCCATTGATTCTACATCTTTTTCCATGCCACTTCTTGTTATGTCTTGCTTCTAGATATTACTCATGCTACATATCTATATATGAACCAAAAAAGATGGTACTTGTTTTGTATATTCTCTCTGGATGCAGAGTGCATACTTTGTGGAGCCTAATCACGATTGTCTTGTTGAATGCTTGCCAACATGCCAGTAACTGGAGAACCCTCCCAAGCAAATACAGAGCAACAACACTATGAAGACAATCTTACCGCTTAGAGGTTTAACCTTTGGTTGTTCCAATTAGGGATCTTAGGGCACATAAAGTGGTTCATCAAGATTATCACCTATTGTGATTGATGAGTATAGTAATCACACAAGAGTCCTTAAGGCTCGACCAATAGCCCGTGGACCATGTGATGGCCCATAAGTTGTGTGTAATGGCTCACTAGACTTGACAGGCTGGGCCGATTAGGGAACTAAAAACAGACCTATTAGCCTGATGGAGTTCAGAACAAATGCTGAATTTGAAAAGGAAAATTTGGAGACCGGTCCCTCTATATGGACTTAAATCCCTCAAGAAAACTTATTTGTTATGAAGTCCATTTTTTGTCAATTTTACCAGACTATCTCTTCCCTTTAGAAGTGAAGTAAAAATAAAAATTAAAAACTCCCAAATTTTATGAGTTTGATGAACATTAAATGAGCATGTTACTATATATATATATAGGTTAGGACTATATATATACAAAAAATAGTAACATTTAAACATAAAAAAATAGTAACATATAATATTAATATTTTTAAAAAATAAAAATAGTAACATGTTCAACAAAAATAGTAATATGTTTAACAAAAATAGTAACATGCTCATTAAAAAAAATAGCAATATGCAACATTGAACAAAACTAAAAATAAAAATAGTAGCATTCAAACTCATAATTAGATAAATAAGCCTCTAATTTTTCAGCATCCAAAAAAGTAACATTAAAAAAGTAATAACATACTCAACAAAAAATAGTAATATGATCAATAAGAAAAAATAGTAACATGGTCAATAAAAAACGTAGTAACATGAAGCATTGAAAAAATTTGGGGATTATTTATTAAAAAAAAAAAACAATTGGGGATCAAATTAATAACACATTGAATAAGTTTTTTAATCTTTGTTTTTGAAAACCAACGACATAGAAGTTTATGATGATCAGAACGCAGTAGAAGATATGATAATTGTTGTCGATGTTCCAAACCCTATTGATTTTGATGCTATGAAGGAAGAAATGATAAGTAAAGAGAAATATTTGTTGTACTGGAGTGATGATCTTTTTCTAATGAGAGAGAGAGAGAGAGAGAGAGAGAGAGAGAGAGAGAGAATATAAATTTGAATTTCAATTTATGAGTGAATTAAGGGATAATAATTTCTAATTTAAAAAATTAATTTAAAGCTACTTTCAAGATCTTTAAGGTTTCTATAATTAAATAGAATAACACTGTTAAGGGTATTTTTGAAATTTAAAAAAATAGTGGACTTAAGTACTTATTAATAAGATAAAAAAAAGGAAGTGTCACTAAATAAGTTTCTTTGACATACTCAAGTCATTATAAGTCCATTCATAATGACTCAGCCCCAATTTTCACATTTGAAAAATAGAATCAGAAAAGTTGAAATAAAATGACACACCGACTACGATTGTATATTTCTGGGATGTAGTTGTTCGGGCCAATGATCTGTGATTGACCCAACCCGCAGCTCACCTTTGTGTGTTGACTGACGGGTCAGGGTATTCTAGGACCATTGCCCACACTTAAGAGTATAAGTTGAGCTTGAACACTTTTTTAAGCTTGTTTAGAAAAATGAGTCTAAAAAGTTCAACTTGAGCTCGCAAAACTCAGTTCGTTTATATGTAAAATAGTCAAGTTACTTAAGCTCGGCAAAATAAGGCAAGCCTGAACAATTTTTTAGGCTCATTTAGAAAAATGAGTTCGATAAACTCAGTTTGAACTCATAAAACTCGACACGATTATCAACCCAATTTAAGAGCCCCCAATCCCCACACACATGCATGCACACAAAATCGGCCCACCCTATGGATGCTGAGGCTGTTTTTCCTTTGCCAGGTATCCTCCAATTAAATGTGAAATGTACAAGCTGTAGCGATACAAGGAGACTCATGCTGATCTGAACTCTTATAAATAAAACCAAACTTAAACTGGTAGTGGCAGGGGACTTTTACCTGAAACGCTTGCCACTTAATCTGTACTATGGAGTTTGCTGTCTATACTACCAAGGTGTGTATATAAGTGTACCAACACATTAAGTGTGAGCATCATGCTAGAATAAGGTCTTACATGCTTTGTGTTCCTATCGAATCTAAAGTCGCAATTAGGTTGGGTTAGTTTCCACGTTGCGATTAAATTTACGAGTCAGGGTTAGGGATGTTGTAATTACCACTAGACTCTTTGTATACTAAATCTATAAGTTTATCAGATGTTAAGGAGAATATTTAC